GAGGAAGTGGTAGTAAGAAGATAACAAATGAATCTCATCTTGGCGTTAACCCAAAAGCCTACTGCCACTTGTTTGTACAGCTGCAAAAAAAAAAATTGTGAGTAGCGTGCCATAATACTATAATCCAAGGAAGTAAAAAACAGTCTTCCCTAAACTGCGGTGGTAAAATGTACCAAGTGAAAGATACCGTAAAAAGAAAAAAAAATCAAAGCTAAGTTATTTAGATCTAAATAAGAGCTGTAAAAAACTATGAAGAAGGAAAAAGCACAATAAAAATAATAAAGGCAGGGTAGGTAATTAAAAAATGCAACAGAAAATAAAAACAAAAACGTTGAAGTTCATCGCAGTTTTCAATTCACACTTTCCATTAAATGCTATAAAACGGAGAACAACTACGAATGGCCCGGTCTGATACGAAAATTGCAGAAAATTCTTCTGCCCAAAGCCTGCATCTCACAGCATAGGCGACTGATATCAGTGAATTAATTTGGACTTTAGTCAAACTTTGATAGAAAAGAAAGAGAATTGTCTGATACTTCCATCAACTTCCACATATTTCTTTACCAACAGTTCCCGTTTTTTTTAATAGAATGAAAATAAGTTTTATATGGCCTAAATAGTGAATGCGGCCTATATGTACTCATGATCTGCAGGAATGCCTCACTGTTTTTCAACGCCATATTTATATCTATATAGGGCAATCCCCAGCTCCAACACAGCATTGTTAGCATATAAAAACAGCAAAACAACACTAAATACGCAACCAACACTGACCAGTGAACCTAAGCTTCTACCGCACACCGATGACGGATACAGGGAAAATAAACCTACTGCGCATGAAGTGACAGATGGACACGAAGTTTTGGAGAGCTGCATTTTAGTGAAACTGTAAAAATTTTCTATGCGATTGAATCTTTGCCACACTGATTGCTACCTTGAGACCGTAATCACTAATAGTAGCGAAAAATTTTCGGCTATTTGTATGTACGTGGAGTATTTTGTCAGTTTAAGAAACGGCACTGTGCGTTCTCCCTGTCTCTGATGGAATGTCACTAGTTTGATGCCAAAAACATACAGCAAAAGCAGGTAAAAGTAACCTTTTTGACCAGAATAATTGGATATGACGGTAAATATATTACTGAGTAAAGAATAATTGCTTCAATGAAAAGTCCATGAATAATTCAGTTATATGAAGGCTTTTTAAACGACTAATTGAAAGGAGGACGTTTAAGTCGAATAGGAACAATCCATATA